GCCTGGGTCAGGCCCCGCCCCGGGAAGGGGGCCGGGACCGCGGGCGCGGGACGAGGCGAGGCGGCCGGGGGCTGGTCTCCCTAGGCCTCACTGCGACCCAGCTTCCCACGGCCTGTGGGGCGGGGTGGGGGTGGAGGGAGGGCGGACAGGCCTCCAAAGGCCCGCCCAGGGCCTGGCCTGGTCAACTTTGTTTTGAACTTGTGGGTCTAGAGGTCGGACGCTTCCCCTGAGTGTCCTCCTCATGAGGGCCACAGGCCTGCTTATAGCGCTTGCTAATGCCGTTGAGCCGGGAACGTTTTTGGTTTTGATGGTGTGTGTGTGTGTGTGTGTGTGTGTGTGTTGATGCTTGAACTCAGGGTGTGTGTGTGTGTGTGTGTGATGACGCTTGAACTCAGGGTGTGTGTGTGTGTGTGTGTGATGACGCTTGAACTCAGGGTGTGTGTGTGTGTGTGTGTGTGTGTGTTGACGCTTGAACTCAGGGCCTGGGTCCTGTCCCCGAACTGTTTTGGTTTTGATTGTGTGTGTGTGTGTGTGTATGATGACGCTTGAACTCAGGGTGTGTGTGTGATGACGCTTGAACTCAGGGCCTGGGTCCTGTCCCCGAACTGTTTTGGTTTTGATTTTGTGTGTGTGTGTGTGTGTGTGTGTGTGAGTGATGGCGCTTGAACTCAGTGTGTGTGTGTGTGTGTGTGATGACGCTTGAACTCAGGGTGTGTGTGTGTGTGTGTGTGTTGACGCTTGAACTCAGGGCCTGGGTCCTGTCCCTGAACTGTTTTGGTTTTGATTGTGTGTGTGTGTGTGTCCCCGTCCGTCCTGGGTCCTGTCCCTGAACTGTTTTGCTCAGAGCTAGTGTGAGTGAGCCACAGCTCCACGTCCAGCTTTTTTTTTTTCTTTCTTTTTTTCTCTCTCTCTTTCTCTTTCTCTCTCCTTAAAAGAGTCTCACAGACTTTCCTGTAGGATTTGCAGGTGTGAGCTGCTGGCACCTGGGTTTTTTGTTATGTGTTACTATTGGTGCTAATAATACTCAGGGCCCTGTCCCTCAGCTCTTTTGCTCCAGGCTAAGGCTCTATCAGTTCAACCACAGCTCCACTTCTCTCTCTCTCTCTCTCTCTCTCTCTCTCTCTCTGTGTGTTTCCAGGCCCAGGTTGGGTTCCAAATGCGCAGCATGCCGAGTACCTAAGATTAGAGGAGGCCTGAGCCACCTGATCCCAGATACTTGCGAAGTTAGTAAAAAGTGGGAAAAGGAAAGGTGAAGCCTGTTTGCAGCAGAGAAAGACAACTAGGACTAGTGTGTTGCATCTAAGAACCCAAGAGCAGGGCGGTTGGGAAACAATTGCAGTTAGACTGGCTGGAAAGAGCAGTGTGGACAATTGTGGTGGGGAACCATTTGGGTTTTGGAAATATTTTGTATGGGAGGTTTGTGTTGCCCATTATGTTAGAAGTGAACGAATTATTTTGCCAGGTCGGTAGTTCACATCTAGAATCCCAGCCAATTTGGAGATGGGGATTGAGAGGATCACTGTTGGAGGCCAGAAGGATTAAGAGGCTTATTGACCCAGGCCAGCCTAAGCAAAAGAGCGAGACTATATCAAGCAACAACCGAGGTGTGGCAGTGCAACTCTATACAGAGGCCATATAAGAGGAGGATCTGATCCAAGCCTTCCTGAGATCCTATTTGAAAAATAACTGAAGCAATAAAAGGCTTCAGTTTTCACAAGGCTTTTATTATGTATTTCGTTGGATTTTTTTGGGGGGGAGGGTTGGTGATGGGGCTTGAACTCTCATCCTGGGCACCCTGGGTGCTGTCCCTGAGCTCTTCAGCTCAAGGCTAGCACTCTGTCATTCGAGCCACAACACCACCTCGGTTTTCTGGTGGTTACTTGGAGATAAGAGTCTCACAGACTTTCCTGCCTTAGCTGGCTTTGAACCATGATCCTCAGATCTCAGCCACCTGAGTAGCTAGGATTACAGTTGTGAGCCACTGGCACCGGCCTTTGTTGGATTTTTAAAGTAAACTTTATAGTCTGAATTTACAATCTCCTAAAAATTTATTGACTATACATATTGTTTGGTGTACTTAGAGATAAATAGTAGAATTTGTACTGGATGGAATTTATGGTTTGAGCGAGGAAGGGGGATTTATACAGTGAAGCAGTTCCTCAAATCAAGGAGGAATTCAGATACAGCTTTAAATGTTACAAAATCAGAAGCTATAAAGTGTTACTTATTTTTGTGTATAACTTGTTTTGCCTACATAACTTAATCCAATCCCTGCAAGTGCATTAAACTCTTACATAACCATATATATCCAGATGTTGCACAAGATTTGGGTAGGTGTGCAGTCAAGTCAGACCCTTGCCTTTCTGTTGCCCTTTTAAGCCACAAATCTTGTAGATAAGAGTAAAATGTTGAAGAGAATCCTTCCCCTGGCTGGATTGGTGTCTTTAAATTTCATTTTTTTTTAAATTTAATTTTATTGTCAGGGTGATGTGCAGAGGGCTTACAGTTACATATGTAAGGTATTGAGTACATTTCTTGTCGAATATTGTTACCCCCTCACTTGTTTTTCTCCCATTTTCCCTTCACCCTAAATTTCTTTTTTTTGGGGGGGGGTCCGGTTGTGGGGCCTGAACTCTGGACCTGGGCGCTGTTCCTCAGCTCTTCAGCTCAAGGCTAGCGCTCTACCACTTGAGCCACAGCACCACTTCCGGCTTTTTTCTTTTTGCTTGTATGGTGCTGAGGAATCGAACCCAGGGCCTCAGGCTTGCCAGGCAAGCGCTCTACCACTGAGCCACCTTCCCAGCCCCTCACCCTAAATTTCTTAATCCAATCCAGAGTTGTGCAAAAAAAAAAAAAATTAGCTACTTCCCAGCCCAATGAAGAAAAGTCATAGTATCATCTTTTTCCTTGTCTTTTTTTTTTTAATAAGGAAAAGTTTATTTCTGTGGAAGAAAGTAGCAGAAACTCCACATCCGGATAAAAAGGAATCCTCAGTTGTTTGCTCTTGTATTTGGTCTTCATGAAGGGTTCTTCCTAAGAAGGTTGGCAAAAGGGAAAGGATGGGGCTGGGAAGGTGGCTCAGTGGTGGAGCGCTTGCCTTGCATGCCTGAGGCCCTGGGTTTGATTCCTCAGTACCACTTAAGCAAAAAGGAAAAAAAGTTGGAAGTGGCGCTGTGGCCCAAGTGGTAGAGTGCTAGCCGTGAGCTGAAGAGCTGAGGGACAGTGCCCAAGCCCAGAGTTCAGGCCCCATGACCGGACCCCAAAAAAAAAAAAGAAAAGGGGAAAAGGATAATTCTAGAGTATGCGCAGGTCATCTAGGAAACAAGGGCCCAAGACAAAAGGGATCTTCAGTATCCTTAAACAAAAGTGGAAGGAACAAGATTATCTCTAGGTTGATAATGTCTGTGTGTTCAAAGGCGTGCAAAACTTGGCTAATGGAAACAATTCTCAATGACTGGTTGATTTTTTTGGTGTGCAGTTCCCATGGGGAATTAAGTTCTAGTGTTGAGATTTCCAGTAATGCACATTGTACTCTTAACTGTAGCATTAGTGAAATATCAGTCTAGGTAAGTTCTAAGACTGTACAGTGAAGGAAAAGATGAATGTTTCTAAATGAATGTTTTCTTCTTTTGGATTCAAAAGCCATTGGAGGCAATCTCAGAAAAAGGTACTCTTCTGTTTCTTCTGTACTGTTTTCCCTAATGGCAGTCTAGCAATTTCTCCTCAACCAGTAAAATGGAATATGGAATACTTTCTCTCTTAGAAATCTACCAGATGGAAATTCTTAATAAATAGGGGTGACAGTTCTTAAATATACCTCCTACCACTGAACTATACCACAGTCCTAAATACTCCATTTTATAGGATATATATATATATATATATATATATATATATATATTCAGAGGAATTTCTAGAATTAGTTCAAATTCTGGCAAACTATCAAAGGACTGGAAAGACTTCAGACTGAGAATTTTAGTGGAGGTAGTCACCACAGCATTTTAAAGGGAAATGAATTGAAAGAGTTCCTAGCTGTTCCTCCATATTTTCCAGCTCTAATAATCTAGTTCCCAACTTCCCACCTAAATAATAAACTAGGGAAGAAATAATTGAATTTGAGAACTAAAAAAAGAACTGTACATAGAATCAATGAGACAAAAGCTGGTTCTTTGAAGAAATTAATAAAATTGATAAACCCGTAGTTATATTGACAAAAAAGAAAGGAAAAAAGACACTCAGATCAACAAAAGTAGAAACAACCAAGGTAACATCACAACAAATATCCAAGAAATCCAAAAGATAATTAGAAATTATTTCCAAAACCTATTCTCAAATAAGACGGAAAATCTAGCCAAAATGGATAAATTCCTAGAGACATAAAAGCTGTCTAAGATGAACCAAGAAAATATAAACCACTTAAACAGATCCATATCAAGAAATATGATGAAGGAAGTTAATAGTCTTCCAACAAGGAAAAGTCTAGGACCTGATGGATTCACAGCTGAATTCTGTAAGAGCTTTAAATATGAACTAATACCAGTACTCACTGAACTTTTCCATGAAATAGAAATAGAAGGATCACTACCAAACACATTTTATGAAGCCAGCATTATATTTCATTATATTTTATTGGGTAGGGACCTAATGAAAAAAGAGAACTGTTGATCAATTTCTCTGTCAACCATAGAGACAAAGCTCCTTAATAAAATACTTGCCAATAGAATTCAACAACTAATCAAAAGAAAGTATATATGATGATCAAACGGGTTTTATCCCAGAGATGCAAGACTGATTTAATATATATAAATCAATAAATCATGTATAAATCAATAAATAATAGGGCTGGGAAGGTGGCTTAGTGGTAAAGAGTGCTTGCCTTGCATGCATGAGGCCCTGGGTTTGATTCCTCAGTACACATCAGCAGAAAAACTGCAAGTGGTGCTGTGGCTCAAGTGGTAGAGCGCTAGCCTTGAGCTGAAGAGCTGAAGGACAGTGCCCAAGCCCAGAGTTCAGCCTCCACAACCGACAAAAATAATATTAAATCAATGTACTACATTAATAGAGCCAAAGAAAAGAATCACATTATCTCAATAGATTCAGAAAAAGCCTTTGATAGAATCCAACATCCATTTATGGTAAAAGCTCTGGATAAGCTAGGAATATAAGGCACATATCAATATAAAAAGATTATATCAAGCCAGGTGGCTATATCTAGCTGGTGGCTCACACCTGGAATCCTAGCTACTCAGGAAGCTGAGGTATGAGGATTGTGGTTCCTGCTAGCCTGGGCAAGAAAGTCTGTGAGAATCTTGTCTTAAAGTGGTAGAACACTAGCCTTAGGCAAAAAAGCTCAGGGACAGGGTCCAGGCCCTGAGTTCAAGCCCCATGACTGACAAAGAAAAAAAAAGCGGGGGTGGGGAGGGGAGCTATATATGACTAAATGGTAAAATACCATGTTCTCTAAAATCAGGAACAAGGATGTCCATTCTCCTTTTCACTATATCTCTGAAATGCCTACCCAGACCAATAGGGCAAAAGAAAGACATAATGGGGATTTGCATAGATAGATAAGAAGTCAAAGTATTCCTATTTGTAGACAACTTGATCCTATATCTAAAGGACCTGAGAGACTGTAGACCCAAGCTGATCAAAGTTAATGGAAACAATTCTCAATGATTGATTGATGTTTTTGGTATGCAGTTCCCATGGGAAATTAAGTTCTGGTGTTGAGATTTCCAGTTATACACATTGTACTATACCTTCCTAGAGTATTGGCAAAGTTGTAGGATACAAAAATCGTAGCTTTTCTGTATTACAACAATGTACAATTAGAGAGAAATCAGGAAAACGGTTCTATTTGTAATAGCCTTAAAAAAAAACAGAAAAAAAGGAATAAACCTAACCAAGGAAACAAAAGACCTCTATAGTGAAAAGTATAAAAACCTGAAGAAAGAATTCAGAGATCACATCAGGAACTGGAAAGACCTCCTATGTTCATGGATATGTAGAACTAATATGAAAATGTCCATACTGCCAAAGGTGATCTACACATTTAACACAATACCCATCAAAATCACAATGACTTTCTTCACCAAGATAGAGAAAACAATCCAAAAATTCATGTGGAAGAACAAAAGATCTCCAGTAGCAATTCTACGCAAAAAATGCAATGCTGGTGGTATCCTAATCCCAGACTTTAAGCTGTACCACAGCTCTAAAACAACAAAAACAGTTTGGTACTGGCACAAAGATAGGCCTGAAGATTGATGGAACCAACCAGAAGACTTAGAAATTTGACAAGGGAGCCAAAAAAGATAACCTCAATGTAAGACCTGAAACATTGAAACTATTGCAAGATGAAGTAGGAGAAACATTTAAACTTATAAGCACAGGCAAGAACTTTTTGAAAAGGAGTACATCAAATAGGAGAGAGACTTGACAAATGAATTACATCAAAATAAAAAGTTTCTGCACAGCAAAGGACATAGTCACTAGACCAGAAAGATAGCTAAAAGACTGGGAGAAGATCTTTTCCAACAATACATCCAACAAAGGCCTAATATCCAAAATATACAAGGAACTCAAAAAATATTAACCAAAAATCTAACAAACCAACAAATGGACAATAAACCTAAAGAGAGACATCTCAGAAGTAAAAATGGCAAGCGAATACATGAGGAAATGCTCAACATCCCTGGCCATAAAGAAAATGTAAAGCAAAACAACTTTTTTTTTTGGGGGGGTGGGTCCGGTCATGGGGCCTGAACTGTGGGCCTGGGCACTGTCCCTCAGCTCTTCAGCTCAAGGCTAGCGCTCTACGCTTGAGCCACAGTGCCACTTCCGGCTTTTTTCTTTTTGCTTATGTGGTGCTCAGGAATAGAACCCAGGGCCTCATGCATGCAAGGCAAGCACTCTACCACTGAGCCACCTTCCCAGCCCCCAGCAGAACAACTTTGAGATTCCATTTGCCCTGATTAGATTGACCACCATCAAGAATTCAAAAAACAAATGCTGTCAGGGATGTGGGAAAAACTGCACTGTTGGTGGGAATTTAAACTAGTACAATCACTCTGGGTTCTTTTTTGTTTGTTTTTTTTGTTTTTGTTTTTGTTGGTCATGGGGCTTGAACTCTGGGCTTGGGTGCTGTCCCTGCACTCTTCAGCTCAAGGCCAGTGCTCTACCGCTTGAGCCACAGCGCCTCTTATGGTTTTCTGGTGGTTTATTAGAGATAAGTGTCTCATGGACTTTCCTGCCTGGGCTGGCTTTGAACCTTGAACCTCAGATCTCAGCCTCCTGAGTAGCTAGGATTACAGGCGTGAGCCACCGGCGCTGGGCAGTACAATCACTCTGGAAGGCAGTTTGGAGGTTCCTCAAAAGACTAAAAACACAGTGACTCGGGCTCCTCTGAAACATGTCAGTCAGCTGGGGCCATACCACAAGCATGACTATATGAAGGAAGAGGAAAGTTTTCCTGAAGATGAATTGGAAAAACAAACAAAGAAACATTGTTTGGTGAAAGACTTGGATGCCTTTCTGAAGGTTCCCAAAAGCTATGTAGAGACCTCAGCGAGTGGGGGTAGTTTCTTTGATAGCCTTTATTACTAGCCATTATTGCTAACAATAATGGAATTCTCAGTATATCAAGATACTTGGGTGAAGTGTGAATATGAAGTAGAAAAAGATTTTTTTTCTAGATGTTGGAGCAGATGTATTAGATTTAGCAGAAGCAATGGTTGTTTCTGCAGATAATCTTATTTGTGAACCAGTTATATTAGAACTTTCACACAGCAAAAAGAGTGGCAAAGGATGCTGCCGCTGATGTAGAGTAGGCTACAAGAAGAGTATTCCTGGCCAGGCGTCGGTGGCTCAAGCCTGTAGTGCTAACCACTCTGGAGGCTGAGATCTGAGGATCGCAGTTCAAAGTGAGCCCGGGCAGGAAAGGCCATGGGACTCTTTTTTTTATTATTATTATCTTTTTTTTTTTCCAGTCGTGGGGCCTGAACTCTGGGCCTGGGCACTGTCCCTAAGCTCTTCAGCTAGTGCTCTACCACTTGAGCCGCAGCGCCACTTCCGGCTTTTTTCTTTTTGCTTATGTGGTGCTGAGGAATCGAACCCAGGGCCTCATGCATGCAAGGCAAGCGCTCTACCACTGAGCCACCTTCCCAGCCCCGCCATGAGACTCTTATCTCCAATAAACCACTCAGAAAACTGGAAGTGGTGCTGTGGCTCAAGTGGTAGAGCGTGCTCTCCTTGAGCTGAAGAGCTGAGGGAAGCGTCCAGAGAATTTAAGCCCCATGACCGACAAAAAAAAAAAAAAAAAGAAAGAAAAAAAAGGAGTATTCTCTCAGGATGTGATATTCAAAAGTCCTTTTTTTGTTGTTTCTTTTTTTTTTATTGTGAAAATACTGTACAGAGGGGTTACAATTACATGGGCAAGATAATGAGTACATTTCTTATCAAGCATTGTAGCTCCTCCATTGTTTCCCCTTCCCATCTCTTCCCAGCCTCCCCCGCCCCTCAAAAGTCCTTTTTAAAGCTTATCTGTAGCGCTTCCACCCAGGGAAGGTGACTTGTCATAGTCTACAGACACGTGCAGAATCTGCAGCCATCTCAACATTAATAAAGTAACAGGGAATTTTCATGTAACTATGGGTAAAGCAGTTCCACATCCTTGTGGGCATGCACGCTTGGCAGCACTGGTCAACCATGACTCCTACAACTTTTCTCACAGAATAGATCACCTGCCTTTTGGAAAGGTTGTTCAGGAATTATTAGTCCTCTGAATGGAACAAAAAAAATTGCTATAGATCATAACCAGATGTTCCAATCTGCCAAGAAAACTCCAAACATACAAAATTTCATCAGAAACACATCAGTTTTCTGTCACAGAAAGGGAGTGTATCATCAACTGCAGGTAGCCATGGAATTTCTGGGATCTTCATGAAATATAATCTCCACTCTCTCATGGTGACTGTTGCTGAGGAGCTTATGCCTTCTGGCAGTTTTTTGTAAGACTGCAGTATTGTTGGAGGAATCTTTTCAACAGGCGTGCTACATGGAATTGGAAAATTTATGGTCAAGATAATTTGCTTTCTGTCCATTCTGTTCCTTTTGAGTATGGCTATACAGACAACCACTTACCTCTTTTGGAAAATAATATACATTATCACCTCCTAAGGGGAAGGAGAATCTAAAAACCCCTTTTTAAATAATCAGATATTGTGCAATATATTCAAAGAAAAATATGAATGAGAAACTGAGAGCATACTTACTTAAAAAAAGGTTGGGGGGGGGACCCAATGTGAAATCTTATAGATAATGTGTCTGTCAAAAGTGTCCTAGCAAATCAGTGACTCTGCTGGCCAACTGCCCAGCATCAAGATGAGCCTCTGGTTGTTCTCTCACACCTGGAAACTCTGTCCTGGAAGAGAAACCACAGCTAAAAAAAAAGGCCTTTAGAAATGCAAGTGCCATCTGGCTCCGTTTTTACAAACCTGATGTGAGAACAGACGATGTAAAACAAAAAAACACCTAAACACAGAACTTCTCTGTGACCCAGCCATTCCACTCTTGGGCATTCATCACTCTATGATTGAACCTGGTTGGCCCTGAATACCCAGAGTCCACAATTCACTCCTTTCGGCTCTCTTCTTATCGCACCTTCTTGCCTTTTTCTACTTAATGGCTTTCGTGGCAGGGGAACTGTTTGGATTCCCTAGGAATCTGTTTTCCTGAGTCACAATCACGTACTCTACTGGTTGATCAGACTAAAGGAGAACACCCTTTTCGACACAGTGACTGATCGTCTCTCCTTACATTGTTGTCTTCTAGGTGACGATAGGACGAGGATTTGGTGTCACATACCAGCTAGTATCAAAAGTCTGTCCACTGATGATTTCTCGAAACCACTGTATTTTGAAACAAAACCCTGAGGGCCAGTGGACAATTAAGGACAACAAGGTATGAGCATGCATAGATGCCTAATGACTTTGACATTTTATGTATTTTGATATTACTTTGTTTTGCATAGATAATTCATTGTATAAAACTGAAAACTTTCATGTTTTTCCTTGTAGCTTCATTTTCTTTCTGTACAACTTCTGTGTGCTGCTAGAGGCAAAATTACATCAGTAATTTTGAATGACATGGGTTGAATGAGTTGGTGATGAATGAATTGGAACTATGAAGGGAACATCTGAATTGGGCCATAAGTCCTATTCAAAAAACTGGACCAAGTTCTTGGGGGAGTTGTCTTTTTTGAATTGAAGGTCCAGAGACCCTAGAAATCAGATGAAGCTTTGGAAAGACATCTGTGCCTCAGGGGACAAGGGAATGGTAGAGAAAGTGAACTTGACTGCACTTAGCTCCTAAGTCTCCCTACTCCCTAACCATGAAGACAATTAATTTTGAATAAAAGGGTTTTCTTTAAACAAACTTGTGTGTTGTCTGATGGAGAATATACTACAGGAATTAAAACAGTATACAAAACCCAGAGACTGAGAATACTATCATGCATTTATTTATGCAAGCACTGGGAATGTAATGAAAATATCAGCTATGAAGTGAGAGGAATTCTAATATAAATAGTAAAGTTTAGAAAGTCTGAAATGTTTACATACCATTTTATACTTTACTGCTTTACTGCTCTACTGGCCAGGATTTTAAAATATCTGTTAGAAGGAGGGAGGCTGTCCTTCAATTCTGTCCAGTCTTCAGAAGATGCCATTAAGAGAATGAAAGCAAACCAGAGTGTTTGCTACACATATACCTGATGAAGGACATATATATATATATATATATATATATATATATATGTATGTATGTATATGTATGTCAAGATATGACCCAGTTTTCAAAATGAGTAAAAGATGGGCATTTATCAAGAGTATGAAAAAACGTTGCCAGTGGCTCACGTCTGTAGCTACTCAGGAGGCTGAGATATGAGGATTGCAATTCAAAGCTAGCCCAGGCAGAAAAGTCTATTAGACTCTTATCTCCAATAGACTATTCAGAAAAAGCCAGAAGTGGCTTAAGTGGTAGAGTGCTAGCCTTGAGCACAAAGAGGCTCAAGGATAGCACCAAGGGCTTGAGTTTGCCCTAGGACTGGCAAAAAAACCCAAAACCAAAACAAAACAAAACAGTTCCATGTCCCCGAAAAATTGTTCATTCTCATTAATGATCAGGGCAGAAATTCAAATGAAAAGCACAAGGGAACCAGGTGCTATTGTAATTCTAGCCTATTAGAAGGCTGATACTTGAGGATCACAGTTAGAAGTCAATTCAGTCAGAAAAGTCTGCTATGCTCCTCCAAAGTAATTAGTAAGAAGTTGGGCTAGAAACATGGTTCAAATAATAGAGGACCAGCTGAGCAAGTAAACCAAGAGAACTGGAGGCCCGAGTTCAAATTCTAGTCACATGGGCCTAGGTAATATCTTGGCTTTTTCACTCAAGGCTAGGGTTCTACCAATTGTGCCACAGCTCCACTTCTGGCTTTTTGATGGTTAATTGGAGGTGAGTCTCACCAACTTTTCTGTTGGGGCTAACTGTGATCCTCAGATCTCAATCTGAGGATTACAACTGTGAGCCACTAGGGCCTGCCCTATGTAAACTTTAGGAGAAAAAACAAAATTCATGATAGATACATTGATACGTTCACTTTGTGGTTATTTACCTAGTATATTTGCAATTTGTGTACTTGATTGCCTATTTTTTATTAGCATTAGTTCTACAGGGAGGGTTTCATTGTGAGATTTCTACATTTGTATACAATGTATCCTGATCAACCTCACCGGCTCTATCACACTTCCTTAGTCTACTACCCACTTATTGAAACTGCATCCCTTGCTTTTTTAACCCCTACACTAGGACTTCTTCAGAATCAGTGAGTGTTAAACATTTATTATATGTGAGTCACTATGCTATGTGTTTACATGTGTTAGCACATGTGTTACCACTGTTCTGTGAGGTGTAGGTCTCATAGATAGAATTGAAGCACAGAGAAGATAAATTGCTAAAGGGCATACAGCTAATAAAGCCACGGTGTTGCATTTGGGCAGTGAGCTCAAGGCTAAGTACAGAGCTCCAGTCTTAACTACTATGATATAATATCTGTGGACCTCTGGTGGTATTACTTAGATCAAGGTCCACCTACCTAATCCCACTACAAAGCATGGGTACCCATTTTTGGGTTTGTGCACACTGGAATATATTAAGGAACACATACAGAGACAGTACTTGAATAACTTTACTGACCCAGCTTACCTCATGGACTTCACAATTAGATACTAATTTTTTTCACTAATAGAAGTTGTTTTGTTTTTTGTTTTCCTTCCAGTTTTGGGCTATTGTCTTCAGTTTAGATTAATAGGAGCAATTCAATTTCAATTCTCTTTAGTGCTGTTGCATATATTTGAGGAATTTCTCCCCTAGTAATATGGTGATTCTTGCTTATACAGGCAGTTCGCTGTAGAGGCCTGAATGTGAAATAAGGGTGAAAAGCCAAAGCACTGTTTGACAAATGCTGCTATGTTTATTCTCAGGGCTTTTCCTATAGAAAAGGCAGAGTGGTTTTCAGCAGCAGGAAAGCAATTCCACTAGGTAGAGGAAAATCAGGCAGCTTAGTTTGTCTCTCTTTCTCTAGAGTCTGAATGGTGTTTGGCTGAACAGAGAACGTCTGCAACCACTGCGGGTTTATTTCATCCAGGAGGGAGACCACATCCAGCTTGGAGTGCCTCTGGAGAATAAAGAGAATGCAGAGTATGAATATGAAGTTACTGAAGAGGACTGGGAGAAGATCTATCCCTGTCTTGCCCCAAAGAATGACCAGATGATGGAAAAAAACAAAGTCTTGAGAACTAAAAGGAGATTTAGTTTAGATGAATTAGAGGGTCTTGGAGCTGAAGGCCCTTCAAATTTGAAATCTAAAATCAGCAAAGTGTCTTGTGAACCTGGTCAGCTAATGAAGTCACATAGGAAGAGTGAAGTGACAACTCAACCCTTGGAATATTCATGTCCTAACTTGACTTCTCTTGAAGCAAGTAAGACCACAGGAGCTCATCATTGCCCTGGCCCTCAAAAAGGCAAAGAGCTTCATCATAAGAAGCAGAAAGCCTCCAACTCTTCCATATCTCAGAGCAACTTAGAGCTGTTTAAAATGAATATGTCCAGGATTTTGAAGCTGAAAACACAGATGCAAGAAAAACAAGTAGCTGTTTTGAATGTGAAAAAGCAGTCCCAGAAGGAGAACCTGAAGAAAATTGTGAAAATGGAACAGGAGCTGCAGGATTTACAGTCCCAGCTGTGTGCAGAGCAGGCTAAGCAGCAGGCCAGAGTGGAGCAACTAGAGAAGACCTTGCAGGAAGAGGAACAGTATCTCCAGGTATACCATCCAGGGAGGGCAGGTGCCTTGCATGCCTCTGGCCAGTGCTGTTTTTGGCTAGGGACCAAATGCTGAGCACTAGGAATGAGAATAGATTTTTAAAGAGGTTGAGGAAAGGGTTAAGAATTCAACTCACTGATGAGATCAGGAGCCTAGGCTGCAGTGATCTCATCTTGGAGTGACATGATGGGGTAAGTAATTGAAAGCCAGCTAGGACGTAAGGATTATGTCATTACAATAGAAAGCCGAGGTGTCTCAGACCCAAGGTCAATTCAGGGAGACAATGAGGATGCCACAAAGTCACACTACATTCCAGTGAAGCCCATAGTTGTCTTCCTGACTTCTGTCTTTGCTATGTGGTCAAAGGCAAATACCTTACCCCCAAAGAGGTGTAGATCAGATGGCTAATATGCCCTTGTGCCTGACAGTGTGTTAGCTGTTACGATTAGTTTACCCTAGCTAATATAGGAGGTGGAAAGCTGGAAAAGCTTTTGTTACATGCAATCCCCCATGCAAAGGGACAGGAACCTCACTACTCTGTTGGGCAGAGTGAGAAACTAACAGCCTTCCTTTAATATAGGAAGGTAAAACAGGAATTAACTGTCTTAGTGATGTCAAAATAAGATCAAATACGTTCTCATTCCTAAGTCATTTGCTTAAATGGCAAGCTCAAGCACATAGCTTTAGGTTGGAGCTCATCCTGTCCCTACTCAAAATGTCAGTTCCCATATGGCCAGAACCAAGTTAGTCCCACCCAGTTGTTCAGGTAATGTTGAATGACTTAGAACTAAGAAGGACCAATCACAACTGAAGTGAAAAAGCCTTTATCTTTTGTTTGGGTTGCTCAGGGCAAGGAACAACCAGAAGCAATGTTGGCTTATTGCTGAACAATTTATAAATTTCATTCTTAATCTGCTATGACTTTGAGCAGGTAGGATTAACAAAGGCCATGGATTAAGTGTCTTTTAAGGATATACCCTGGCTGCATGTGTATCCCTTTTTCCTCATCCAGCCCTGGTGACTTCTTGAAATTAATGGAGGGTAATAATCTCTTCCTAATTAGTGTATCATACCTTCTCCAGAGAAAATATTCTCTTTCTCTCCCTCTCTCTCCCTTTCTCTCTGTATTGTGTGTGTGCACACAAATGTACCAGTACTGGGGCTTGAGCTCAGGGCCTAGGTGCTGTCCCTTAGCTTTTTTGCTCAAGGCTAGTGCTCTACCACTTGACCCACAGCCCCATTTCCATCATTTTTTGGAGATATAAGAGTATCAGAGACTTTGCTGCCTAGACTAGCTTATATACCTCGATCCTCAGATCTCAGCCTCCTGAGTAGCTAGATTTATGGGCATGAGTCACCAGTGCCCAGCCAAATAGTTTGTTGTGGTGTTATCTTTTTACTGTGAAATGTTTTACCTTGTTGAGAAGATGTATTATACACATAATATAATGGAAGAATAGATTTCAGTCATTAAAGTAGACAACATTTTTAAGTTGGCATATTAAATAGTAATTTTTAAAGAAGGAAGAGCCCAGAGGTTGTTGTGGAAGCAGCCAAACATAGGATTTAATGATGTGAAAGGCATTGGAGGGGCTGGCAGAGGAAGTATATCAGAAGCTAAGACCGGAGGGAGGAGGAGCAGCTTAGAGGCTAAAACTGGAAAAGACTCAGAGTGGAGACGGGGTGACCAGACTGAGAGAAGAAACTTGGAAGTTCTTAATAGCACCAGCATGAGAAATTGTGTCTTCATTTAAGGCTTTAGTGGCTCTAGAGTTGTTTGCATCCTTTGTATGTCATTTCGTTAGCCAATGAAGAAGGTTTGAACTGCAAGTCTGTAGTTTTTCCAGAACCATCCAAGTGGTGGCTTCGAGCTGACAGTTCTAAGGAGTGCAATATTTGAGCAGATAAACAGCTTGAATCCTTGACTGCCAACAGCTTGAAATAAGCGGGGGAGGGTGGCTTCCACGTGCTCCCTGCCCCCTGGTGTTTCCAGATGCTCCTTACCCTAGCTGGTCTGCTCTGGTAGCTGCTGGGTTTTGTTCCCCCTCTTAGAGGGAAACCTTCATTTTCTTTTTGACTTTGCAGGGTTTGGAGAAAAAGCAAGAAGAGGACCTGAAGCAACAGCTGGCCCAGGCTCTGCAAGAGGTAATTTCCTTGTTCCACTTTTCAGAGACAGTAGTGGTTTGTAAGAGGGGGCTAGCCAGGCATCATATGATCACTCGTTGCCTCTGCCTTTTAGCCCACACGTCTGCAGCATCTCCAGTCTGCAAACAGAGCAGGTGGCAGCTGTTCTCACCATCAGGCTGGAGATTTGGAGCCTCACATATATGCCAGATCTCAGCATGAAAACTTAACGTCTTCATCTGGGCATAAGTTGCTCTGGTAGTGATGGGGAAAAAAAACAACCACAAAAAAACAACAACAAAAAACCCAACCCTGTAGTAATAGAGACTCTGGAGAGGGGCCTCTACTTCTAGAATAGTGAGTACAGCAGAGGGGAAGTGAGAGCCATGGCTTGGTCCTCAGGGCCTGCAAGGGCGTCTAAGTCTATCTCTGAACTAGGACATATAGAAATATTTCGAGAATGTTCCTATTAAAGCCTTTTAAGTCAGGTTGAGATCGTGCAGTTTAACCACAAAACACACCAATTTGACTGTAGTGTAATCTCACAGGAATAAAATTCTCCTAAAAGATTACTTGTAATTTAGTTCACTTAACTGGTTCATTTTACTTTTTTTTTTGTGTGTGTGTGCCTGTCCTGAGGCTTGAACTCAGGGCTGCATGGTCTTGCTTGGTATTTTGCTCCAGGCTGGCACTCTACCATTTGAGCCCCATTTCTGCTTCTAGCTACTTGCTGGTTAATTGGAGATAAGAGTTTCACAGACTTTTCTGCTTGGGCTAGCTTTGAACCTTGATCCTCATATCTCATTCTTTTGAGTAGCTAGGATTACAGGAGTAAGCCACCAGTGTCCAGTTATTCATTTATATTAGTTACTTATTTTACACATAGAAGTATATATTTTTAAAGCTGCTTCATATTCTGTCCTTTATATATTGTAACTAATAGTTTGATGTAAATTTTGTCAAGAGGTTAAGGGGATAGCTCAAATCTCCTTGAAAAAAGTAACCATGGGAATTTTTCCTTATATTCATTTATTATTTCTATACCTTATAGTACTAATAATTATATGGTATTGTGACAGAGTGCTTCCTTGACTTCCTTGAGGGGTCCACAAATAGTTTTAGAAAAAATTAGGTAAAAGTTAATTGAGTGTTTCGGTATTTTTCCAAGGTTGTTTTACTTTATAGGGTGGGAAAGAAGTATATTTCCCATTTGGAATATGTTAAGATTACTATTGAGATGCAGGTTTGAAGTTGACTAGAAAAGAATAAGGCTCTGCTCCCTGAGATTCCCTGAGGGATTGTTGAGTTCCCTGTCTGTACAAAGTACACACATGTTCTGAGCAGACGGGAGAACACACATTATGGATGCTTAGCCTTGAAGTCACCTAGCTGAATTGTGATGCTTTAGACCCTGGTTTTGTATGATCATGTTAGGGGGACATGTTACTCTTAACTGAAGCAATGGTTGGTTTTTGTTCTACCCTGCAGGTTCCTTTGAAGTTATTTTTTACCACACTGATAGAAAACCTTGCATTTCCATAGAACTTTAAAACAATTCTGAATGTTTTTCCATACCTGTTATGCTTTTCTCTTTCTTTCCTTTTTTTTTTTTTGGCAGATTGACTCAGCCTTGTATTTTCTAGGCAGGCACCTTTTCACCTGAGCCATGCTCCTAACTCTTTTATATTTATTTTATTTTGGGGGTAGAGTCTATCATTTATGCTTTGGGCTGGCCTAAAGATCTCCTATTTATGCTTCCTGCATAGCTGGGATGACAGATGTACACTACCATGCCCAGCTTTTTTTTTTTTTGTCTGTTGTGGGGCTTAAACTCTGGGCACTGTCCCCGAGCTCTTGAGCCACAGCACCACTTCTGGTTTTCTGGTGGTTAATTGGAGATAAGAGTCCCATGGATTTTCTTATCCAGACTGGCTTTGAACCAAGATCTTCAGATCTCATCCTCCTGAATAGCTAGGATTAAAGGTGTGAGCCACCAGTGACCGGCTCCAAACCCAGCTTTTATTGATTGAGATAAAATCTTGCTAACTTTTTTGCCTGGGCTGGCCTTGAACTGGGCTTCCCTATCTTTGTGTCCTGAGTAGCTAGCATTACAGGTGCCAGCCACCATGTCCAGCCTGGAAATGTTATTTTCTTAGCAACACTGTGGTAGGAGATACACTTGTTTTCCTATCTTATAGGTAAGAAAGTTAAGGAGCATAGATCTAATTAGTCAGAAGACTCAGGCCTTCTGAGAGACCACACATTTAAAATTTTGTTTCTTGACTATCTTTCCAGAAACAACCTTTATTCTACCTTTTAAAAAGGATTTAAGGAAAGATTCTAAAGTACATTCTATTCTTGTATATGAAGGAACTAACAAATTTCCTTCCTACCTTCCTTCCTTCCTTCTCTCCTATCTTTTCCTCTTTCCCTCCCTTTTATGCTGGGGATGGGACTCAGGATCTCATGCATACTAAGCATGTGATTAACCACTGAGCCACACACCCAGCCTATTAATTATATTTCATAGATGTGGAATTTCTTGACATTTGGGATAAGCAGCTAATTGTGTGACTCAGCTGTTGGCTTCTAGGCATGCTAGCTTCCAGAAGACTTTGGCCAGGTTCAGGCAGTATTGCCTTATGAACATGAGGTATGTGATTTGTAGAATGAATAGGTTAAAGGTTATGTTTTTCTTTCTTCTTTTTTTTTTTTCTTGTTGTTTGAAGGGCTTGAACTCAGGGCCTGGGTGCTGAGTCATAGCTCTTCACTTTTTTTTTTTGGTCATGGGGCTTGAATTCTGGGCTTGGGCACCCTGAAGTCTTCAGCTCAAGGCTAGCACTCTACCATTGAACCACACCGCCACTTCCAGGTTTCTAGTGGTTTATTTGAGGTAAGTCTCATGGACTTTCCTGCCTGGGCTGGCTTTGAACGGCGATCCTCAGATCTCAGCCTCCTGAGTAGCTAGGATTACAGGTGTGAACCACCAGTACCCAGCACTGTTATTGATTTTTAAGCTCTGGCTTCTAGTATCACCTAGATCATTTTTTAATAAAATGCACATTCCTGGGCCTCAAGCCAAACATACACAATCAGACTCTGTAAAAGCAGTAAAAGTTCTTCCATTGATTTGTTGGCCATGGAGATTGGGTTAGGGACTAGAAGATTTGATAGCCTCCCTCCCAATCCCCTTCTGTGGGATATCCTGAATAAAAGATGTTATTTTGAATTTGACAATTCATTTGATCCCTCAACCAAAATCACTGAGTTAGGGGGAGGAAGGAGATGTGTGTGGCTGAAAGGAAGGATCCTGGGTAGCTCATCCTGAGTGTGTATCTGCTTTATTTCTACAGCATCAGGCTCTAATGGAAGAGCTCAATCGCAGCAAGAAGGACTTTGAAACAATCATTCAAGCCAAGAACAAAGAATTGGAGCAGACCAAGGTATGACAAAGAGAATAGAGGTGTAGACTTTGGTTAGTATATGCAGCTCAGCATTTTTGACAGTGCCTGGGTTGCTATGGTGAACGAAGAGAGAGATTATGGCTGCTCCTTGCCTCTGGGGAAATAAGCTATAAAATTATTCAGGCTTATAGAAGGTTCTGCCTGTAGGGCAAGATCTGTTTCTTTTCCCTTGTCCAGAAACTAAATGCTGAAAACAAGACACTGGCTCCAGCATTCTAGTCTTTGGTGTGGTGAATGCTCCTTCAGGGTGTGTCACTGATGCAGACTGTGGAGTGTCAGTCAAAAATAATGGTTCGTTGTGACGTACTTATATAATTCCTCTCACCACATCAATAGATGTGGTGTTATGAATGGAAAGCAGTAGTATGAATGAGCCTGTGGCTTGGTGCAGGACAGTGAGGTTGCGGTGCTTCCCCATCTTTACTCAGGAGGCATCACAAGGCGGCTCTTGTCTACTCAATCAGTTGTTGGCATCTGGAAGTTTAGGCCCAGCAGTGTTCACATAACTTTCCTATGGCAAGAAAAATCATTTCTAGTGTAAGTGAAACTACCATTTTTCAGATATTGACAGCAAGTTCCTTTATTGTTTTGTTTTGTTTTGTTGCATTCGGGGCTTAAACTCAGGTCCTGGACACTGTCCCTGAACTTGTTTTGCTCAAGGCTAGCATTCTACCACTTGAGCCACTCAGTTGCTGTTGTTTTTTTTAACTAATAGCTAATAATCATACAATTTGTATATACTTTGAGGGTACCATGTGATGACTCCCGGTACTGATTACAGAAAGGATGAGGGGACTTTTTTTTTTTCCTGGTCCTTCAGTTTGAGCTCAGGACCTGGGCACTGTCCCTAAGGCTCCTTTTTGCTCAAGGCTAGTGCTCTACCACTTAATCCACAGTGCCACTCTCAGCTTTTTCTGGGTACTTTATTGAGATAAAAGTCTCACAGACTTGGGCTGGGAAGGTGGCTCAGTGGTTAAAGTGCTTGCCTTGCATGCCTGAGGCCCTGGGTTCGATTCCTCAGCACCACATAAGCAAAAACAAAAAAGCCGGAAGTGGCATTGTGGCTCAAGTGGTAGAGCGCTAGCCTTCAGCTGAAGAGCTGAGGGACAGTGCCCAGGCCCAGAGTTCAGGCCCCACGACTGGACCCAAAAAAAACAAAACAAAACAAAACAAAAGTCTCACAGACTTTTCTGCCCAGGTTGGCTTCAAACCAAAAAATTCTCAGATCTCAGCCTCCTGAGTAGCTAGTAACTAGTAGCTACAGGCATGAGCCACCAGCACCCAGCCACCAGTCCACTCTTAAAACCATCATATAGTGCATTATACATGTGTAGAAATGTAATAATGATATTACTTCCCCCAACTAACATACATTTAGTAAATTAAAAAAATAAACACAAAAAGCCTGCAAACACACAAAAGAACGATCCAATTCAAGTAAGGTTCCAGAGGTTTAGGCTGCAGCAAGTGGGAGAAGGAAAGAAGGAAGTTAGTGTCTGTATTAGAAAGCAATTCTTGAGAAACTAACCCCTGGGAAAAGTATTTCATTCTCTGTTGCTGCACCAGAATGAATTTTTAATTTAAACTCTTTCTGAATCCTATTCCAGATAATTAACCTCACTCCCTGCACTGATCTGCGTTCTCGTCAGTTTTCTCAAATGACAGTGGCATTGTGTGTCTTTGCAGGAGGAGAAGGATAAGGTGCTAGCCCAGAAGGAGGAAGTCCTTAACCACGTGAATGACGTGCTAGAGAACGAGCTCCAGTGCATTATTTGCTCAGAATACTTTATTGAGGTGAGTGTGAAACAGCAGTTCACCCCTCAAGCTTTGCCAGCCTTGAGGGGTTTGCAGGGGCTTTTCAGGTTGCTACTACAGGGAAATAGTTTTGAGATTTTTATTCCAGGAGTTTTTAGCTATTTTGATTTCAGAATGGCTTCTTCTCATTAGGTTTTGTAGTCTTCTTTCTCTTGATTGTCCCTTTCTTTCTTGATTTTTTTTTTTAGCACAATTAACATTTAAACTTCAATAAACCCCTTCTTGTTGGGTGGTGGAAAGGAAATAGGGATACATAGTATTAGGATTTTGAACTATCAGAACAAAGCTGCCCAATAAAGCCATTCTTTCTTTATTCAGAGTGGGCACAATGCCAAGAGTAGCTTGTAGTGCAGCCCTTTCAACAGAGTGCTAAATGTCATTGATTTGTGGTCACTTTGGGAACTCAGGAGAAAAGCTACATATATTTCAGGGACTGCAAGGCTGCTTTTGAAATGGAAACATCTCTGTCCTAGCCTACCATTTGCCATCCTGTCATATTTTTTGTTCCAGCTCATTTACTTTTCATAAATTTCTACCATTTGTGACCAGTTCATGTTAGACTAGAAGTATTGAACTCAGGCTGTTAAATGGCAGTCTTTTCAGATTCCTTAGAAAAGGAAAATGCATACACACAATGCTTCCTTTTCTCTGGCAGTCTTTAGGGAGACCGGGTCTATTAACCTTTTGAAAAATCTCCCTCCAGTAGACCTGTTTCTTTGTCCTGGATCCACTTTGACTTCAGGTCGTCGTTTCCCACAGTTTCTAGTCAGCTGATTCCCTGTGGTGGAGAAGAAACTCAGTGTACTTGGCCTTGTGTTGCCTGTCCTGTTCTACTTTATTTCTCATAGACAGCCTTAGAGGCCAGGGGCATGACTTAAGTGGTGGAGCCCCTTCCAAGCAAAAGCAAAGACCTGAGTTCAAACCCCAGTAGCACAAAAAAAAAAAAGTGCTTCATTTTAATCAGACAAGTTTTAGTCCTATTTATGAGTTTATCTCATATGGAAAATAATACCTTTGTTTTCTAACTTTATAGATTTAACATTTGAAGAAACATGATTTCTGTTTTGCTGTTATCCTAATAGGAATGAGGACTTTTGAGCCTCATAATAAGTTTTACTTAGAAAATGAACATAAACAAGCGTAACAAAGAAAATGGTTTGTTTTCCTAGATCAGAAAAGACTCTGGCAGAAATCTGACCAATACAAAGAAGAGACTCTTAAATACAGACTTCCTTCTTTTTCTCTTTTCATGGCAAAATTACATAGGGATTCAGGCACTGTTAGTGACATATTAAAGTTTTTAATTCTTTAAAAAAAATTTTGGGGGGCTGGGAAGGTGGCTCAGTGGTAGAGTGCTTGCCTGGCATGCATGAGACTCTCGGTTCGATTCCTCAGCACCACATAAGCAGAAAAAGCTGGAAGCGGGGCTGAGGTTCAAGTGGTAGAGTGCTAGCCTTGAGCTGAAGAACTGAAGGACAGCGCCCAGGCCCAGAGTTCAGGCCCCACAACTGAAAAAAAAAAAAAAAAAAATATATATATATATATATATATATTATTAAGTAGTTGTTAATAGGGGTTACAATTCATAAATCAGGGTTATGAGTAAATATAGTGCCTTTTGGTCAGTGTTACTTCTTCCTTTGTTCTCCTCCATTCTTCCCCTCCTGTCCCTAACCTCATTAGATAGTTCTTTTTCTGTCTGTTGTAGGGCTTGAACTAAGGGCCTGGGTACTGTACCTTAGCTTTTTTGCTCAAAGCTAGTGCTCTACCACTTTGAGCCACAGCACCTCTTCTGGTTTCCTGGTTGTTAATTGGAGATTAACAGGGCTGGGAAGGTGGCTCAGTGGTAGAGTGCTTGCCTTCCATGCATGAGGACATGGGTTCGATTCCTCAGCACCACATAAGCAGAAAAAGCCAGAAGCGGTGCTGTATCTCAAGTGGTAGAGCGTTCACCTTGAGTTGAAGAGCTGAGGGACAGCGTTCAGGCCCACAGTTCAGGCCCCACCACCAACCAAAATAAAAAAGAGTCTTACAGACTTTTTTGCCAGAGTTTCAAATCACAATCCTCAGATCTCAGCCTCCTGTCTAGCTAGGATTACAGGCATGAGCCACCAGCACCCAGCGTCATAGTTTTTAACATAATGTACATTGAATATAGTGACTACATTTGCTCACTCTTCCTCCCTCCATTCCTGTGCCTGCTTTTACTCACCCCCAAAAACATGTTCTAGTTCTTTTTTTATCCAGCTTATTTATTGGTCATTTATATTCTTCTTCATCATCATCCTCATCCTCAGAGAGATGAACGTGGGATTGAACTAAGGACCTCATACTTCATAGTCAAACTCTCTACTATTAAGCTGTTTTCCCAGTCTTTTTGTACCAGTTGAGCCATTTTTTTCAGTCCTTTTGCTACTATAGTTTGAGTCTTTTCATCTCTTGAGTAGTTGGGACCAGTGGTATCTAGTGTCTACTACCATACCTCCTCTTCTTCCCACTGCTACTGTTGATTTTTTTTTTTTTTTGTCAGTCATGGGGCTTGAACTCTGGGCCTGGGCCCTGTCCCTGAGCTCCTCAAGGCTCATGTTCTGCACTTGAGCCACAGCACCACTTCTGGTTTTTCTGGTGGTTAATTGGAGATAAGAGTCTTACAGACTTTCTTGCTTGGACTGGCTTTGAACCATGATCCTTGGATCTCAGCCTCCTGAGTAGCTAGGATGACAGGTGTGAGCCACTGGCACTGTCTTCTGTTGCCTTTGAAATAGGGTTTCACTCTGTAGTCCAGACTGATGCGCAATTCAGTATATAGTTCCAGTTAACCTAACTTACAATCTTCCAGTTCTGTTTATTGACTGTTTTAGTATATGGATCCCCTTAGAACATCATTTTTATTGAAATGAATATAACAAGTTAGCATTAGAACATAGATTTTTATAGATTTTTGTTTTGTTTTGTGCCAGTCCTGGGGCTTAAACTTAGGGTTTGGGCTCTGTCCCTTAGCTTTTTCGCTCAAGGCTGGCACTTTAGTGCTTGAGCTGTAGCTCCACTTCTGGCTTTTTACTGGTTAGTTGGAAATGAGTATCTCATGGAATTTTTGCTCAGCTGGCTTTGAACTGTGATCCTCAGGCTTTTGAGTAGCTAGAATTACAGAGATGAACCACAATGGCAGCAAATTTGTTGTTTATAAGAGACTTAGTGATATAGTTGTACATTCATACATTCACACATTCTACTTATATCCATTTACATTTTTTGCCAGGTGACTAATCCACATTAGTAATAGGCAGCATAAAACAAACAAATCAGCCTAGCTGGGGTCTGATCTATACCTTCCAGTCTGCAACAATTATGTCTGTAACCTTTGAGAAAGGAAGAAATGAATCTTCCTTTTTTTAAAATAAGTTTTTATTGTGAAAATATTGTACAAAGGGATTACAATCACATGAACAAGTAATGAGTACATTTCTTATCAAGCATTGTTGCCTCCTCCTTTGTTTTTCCCTTATCATCCCTTCCCTTCAATCTCCACAACTCCCATCTCCCATTCCCCACCCCTCTACATTGTAAAGTTCGTTTTTTGACATAGCATCTTGTACATCTCATTGTTGCAGTGGGTCAACTTGTATCCCTATTTAAACAATTTGTTTTTTCCCTTCCGCTCCCCAAATTATACCAACATCAAATACAGTGAAAACAGAAGTTATACCGTGGGGGAGGGATCTACAAAAGAAATGAATCTTAGAACATGAAACTTAAACATTTCCACCTCTGCCAAGTAGACAGTAGCTCAACCTGTAATCTTAGCTATACTCAGGAGGTTGAGATCTGAGGGTTGTGGTTCAAAGCCAGCTGGAGCAGGAAAATCTGTGAGATTTTTATCTAAAAAAAACTGGAAGTAGAGCTGTGGCTTAAGGGATAGAATGCTAGTCTTCAGCATAAAAGCTCAGGGACAGTGCCCAGGCCTAGTTAAAGCCCCAGTTCTGCCCCCCCACCCCCAAAAAAAATTCCACCCTATTCTACATGAGACTATGACTAGCTTTCTTTTTTGCCTTGAAAATTACTTCCTGTTATAGCTTTGAGAAAGTAAGCATGACAGGTATGATTTTGTGTTCCCATTTGTGTTGTAGGCTGTCACCTTGAACTGTGCCCACAGTTTCTGTTCCTACTGTATCAATGAGTGGATGAAGCGGAAGACAGAATGCCCCATTTGTCGGCAGGACATCAAGTCCAAAACTTACTCCCTGGTTCTGGATAACTGCATTAATAAGATGGTGGTCAGTCTGAGCTCAGAAGTGAGAGAACGACGGATTGTCCTCATTAGGGAACGAAGAGGTGAGTGGGTCAGGAAACCCCTAGTTCTCAATGAAGGACTTGCATCCAGACTTCAACAGATTTATTTGTTTGTAATTGGGGAAGAGAGTGAGCTAAAGACAGGGTGGAAGAAATGAGATAATAAAGGGAGTTCTCTTTACCTTGAACATAGGAAATGTGGAAAGCTGGTGTGTGCCTTGGCCATGGGAATGTGGTAAAAGCAAGCTGACTACAAAACACAGTCAGTCAGATGGTTTGCCTTATTCATCACTAGATGGTGCTGTTGCTCATGACAGCTTAGTTGCTATCACTTAGGTTAAATAGACAATTATAAATAGTATGTTTACAAATCAAAGTTTTCAATTTGGTGTTAGCACAGTGGCTTGCTTGTAATCCTAGCTACTTAGGAGGCTGAGATCTGAGGATCAACTTTCAAAGCCAACTCAAGCAGAAAAGTCTGTGAGATTCTTATCTCCACTTAACTAGAAAAAAGCTGGAAGTGGAGTTGTGGCTCAAGCACTAGAGAGGCAGCCTTGAGCAAAAAAGCTAAGGGATAGCACCCTGACCCTGAGTTCAAGCACTTAAAAAAGTTTTCAATTTTCAGAATACTTGAACACATATACATATCTGGTCTATTAGAGTTATCATTGGACAGACTGGACAGGATTATAGAACTAAGGTATGTAAGTCTAATCCTACTGTGTGGTCTTCTGGAATCCTGATAGTTTCACTAACAAATCTCCCAGTCAGAATTTGTATAAGACCATTAGAGTTAGCATAGGTGAGTTTCCCTGATGAATTATGCTGCTGTAGAGAGTATCTGCTCATTAAAGTGATCTTGCCACAGTTGGCCTGCTGTATTAAGGTTGCAGAGAGCCACTCTGCTTGAGACAGGAATATCTTTATGGCAAAAGCATGTGTCTTGGGCAAAGCACAGGAAGCTAATAGGAAGGATTGTTACTGAGTAGAGCTCTAGTGTATATAAAAGCAGGGTAGATATAGTTATCATGATCAGTCCCTTGAGCTAATGAAGCATTACTTGGGAAAGCTTCAGAGACAAAATGCTGTGATGTCATTTGTCAGTTGGCTATACATATAGACCTGTCAGAGAACCAGGAGCTTGCTGCTCCTTCACATGCCACCTGGCCATTGCATACTTATGTTCATGTGTCTTTGATTATACCTGAGCACTTGATTTTGGGGTCTTATTCTCTCCTTTGGCTTTCTTGCTCATGACGGCACTCTTGTCAGTTGGGCCATACTTCCAATTTGGCTTTTTTCTGGTTAATTGGAGATGGAGTCTTGTGGACTTTTCTGTCCAGGCTAACTTTGAACTGTGATCCTCAAATTCAGACTCCCAAGTAGCTAATATTATTGGTGTGAGCCACTAGCACCCAGCTTTGTGCCAAGTTTTGAATGCCCACATTTTTTTTTTTACCTCCAAGAGCTGTTTGATTCTGGTAGAATGCCATCTCCTGTCATGCCATAGCAAAACTTAATGGACATGGGGATAGAGAAATATAGCATCGTCTTAATAAGCACAGCACTCACAGTAGAAAAGACGGGAAGAAAAGGAGATAGCTGGTGTATGTGTCACAGCAGGACCTGGGAAACTTCAGAGCATGGACCTTTCTGTCTTTAGGTAGGTGGAAGGGAGAGAAAGCTCCACATTTGGGTGGAATCTTACAGGTTCCTTGGGAGTTGGTTTGCCAAGCAGAAGAAACTGAATGAGCAAAGCATACAGGCATGAGACAGCAGTGGTTGGTCACCAGCCCTATCCCTTGTGGCCCCCCAAAAAAAACATATTTAGCTGGGTTTGAGGGCTCATGCTAGAATCCTAGCTACTCAGAGGCAGAGACTGAGAAAGTCATCCTTCAAAGCTAACCCCTGTTTTAAAAAAAAGTTCCGCAATTTCATCTCAGCCAGTAAAAAATTAGGCACGATGTCATATCATTATGTCAGTCTAGCTATGTGAGAAATGGAAATAGGAAATAGGAGTATCAGGACCCTATTATAAAAATAATGAAAGCAAATGGGGCTGGAGGAGGCATGGCTCAAGTGATAGAGTGCTGATAGAAATGCACAAGACCCTGAGTTGAAATCAACCCCCCCCCAAATGCCATATTCATGTGGTATTAGACTTGTAAGATGACAGCAAGGTTGAACAGTTATCTACTGAGGCCTGGGAATGCTTTCTTCCTTCTCTCTCTTCCCCTTTTGCAAGAGGCACTGTCTCAGAAATTCAATTTGACCAGGATCAGGTTTATGACCTTTGAGCTGAAGTGTTCTGGGTCTGTGTCAGGATAGGGACATCTGAGTGTGGTTGTTGCCCAACCTCTTGCCCAGTTCCCTTCTTGGCAGTCCAAACACAGTAATGTGTTTGTACATCTACTGTGATGACTTCACAAGGCCTTGGAAGGAAGCTGAACAGCCTGTGTCAGCTTTGTCCACAAAACTGCTGTACAGAGTAAATGCCAGCACCCCCCCACCTTTCTCTCCAAAGGCTAAAGAGGTACTTCTTGGCCTTTTGGCGACAGTAGGAGGCTGCACAGTAAACAGTTTCTCCTCTGTGTGCATTTGCTCCCAGAAGTTCTGGCAACCATCTCCAGTTGTGCAGTTATCACAGCATGCAGCTTTGAGGTGTTCTCTAGAGATACACAGCAGACCTGAAACCTGATTTAGGGAATGATGTGCCAAATCATCAGCAGCTTCACTGGACTGCAGTGCAGGGTTTAGAGAAAACTCACCGTGCAAATACCAACTGTCCTTGTATGTTTAAGGCCATTAAAAGCTGATTTGCTCTTTAGTGCTTAGGAGGGATTTGGGTTGATTTTTTTTTTGTTTTTGTTTTTTTTTAGAAGGACTAAATTTAGGATCTAGGAAGTAGGATTGGCAAGTATTTCATTGCCATTTCTAGTGCTATAGTCCAGCCCTGGGCAAGGATGGTTTTTCTCAGAAATTCAGAGGGGGGGTGTCTGCCTGTGATTGCATGGGGGCTGCCCATGCAGATGGCTGATTTTCCAACTTCACCAAGAGCAGCCCCTCCTTGGCCTCCTTCGCTGGTGGTTGTCTCAGAGTTCCATATCTCCAGGCTAGGAGTAGAGCCACATAACTGATTAACTATGGTTTCTTATAAATGCAGCCTAAAGGAGAGCAGGGGAGGGGAAGGGTTTCTGAGTTGGAGAAAGGATTCTCTGGAACTGGAGTGAATAGCATACATCCAAATAGTTTTGTTGCATGAGTAATGGTTGTTCTCTGGAGTACTAGGAGATTTTTGTGAGGGGAAGAGGGTTTTGGTTGCTTTTTTGTTGTTGTTGTTTTTTGGTCCGATCGTGGGGCCTGAACTCTGGGACTGGGCGCTGTCCCTCAGCCCTTCAGCTCAAGATTAGCACTCTACCACTTGAGCTACAGTGCCACTTCTGGCTTTTTTTTTCTGCTTATGTGGTACTGAGGAATCGAACCCAGGGTCTCATGCATGCAAGGCAAGCGCTCTACCACTGAGCCACCTTCCCAGCCCTTGTTGTTGTTGTTGTTGTTGTAATGCCAGTACTGGGGCTTGAACTCAGGGCCTGAGCTTCTTTTGCTCAAGGCTAGTTCTCTCATTTGGGACACAGCTCCATTTCTAGCTTTTTGTAGTTAATTGGAGATGAGAGTATCACAGACTTTCTTGCCTGGGCTGGCTTTGAACTGTGATCCTCAGATCTTAGCCTCCTGAGTAGCTAGGATTACAGATGTGAGCACAGTACCCCAGCAGGAAGAGTTTTTTTGAAACCCCTTACAGGGGAGTTGGTGAGGTGAGAGAGCAGTGTCTGGTTACTTCCTTTCTGTTTCTTCTGTTCTTGTTGAGTTTTAGTTGGTTAAGAGATACATTAATGTCTAACCTTTTGCTTTCTGTAGCATTTCCCTTGGATTATAGAAAATAGAAAAGTGGGCCTGGAGATGCAGCTCAGTGGTTAAGCACTTGGCTAGCATGCATAAGCCCATGGGTTTAATCAAAGATCTAAAACCTAGTTCCTTAGACCACTGATTTTCAACTTAGACTTTTAAATATTACACCCCTGCCCCCTTGCTAGTGCTTTACTGAGCTGAGGCTGCAGATAGGAGTGCAGTGCGGCCTTCAGGGGGCTTTCAAGTGGGCTGAGCGGGGGGAAGGGCTGGTCAACCTTTGTGAAGCTCAGACAGAGGCCTCCTCCAGAGCTGAGGGTCTCTGGGAAGATTTACTCAAGTTAGACCACCTGGCCTGTGGCTTTTGGTGGCTTCTGGTAGGTAGGTGCTCCAGACATGGAACAGGAAGAACTCCTAGTCCAGACTCTGGAGTATGTGTCTGCTGCCTTGATGTTTTTCCTTTGATAATGCCCATCTTCCATTGCTAGAACTCAGAGCTTTGTCAAGGTATGTTTGTGGGAATGACAATAGTAAATCCACTCACCCAGAGAGAATACTTGTGGGGACCTTCTGGCTGCTACCCCACGTGTTTCAGTTATTCATACCGCTGACCTGCTGTCCCATTGGATGGACAGTTCCTGCCATACTGTAATCATTTCAAACTGTCTTCTCAAATGTCAGATAAGGGATACCTCATTGTCCCTTTTTGGTAAGAACTTTTTGTTTGTTTGTTTGTTTGTTTGTTTTTGAGTCCGGTCGTGGGGCCTGAACTCTGGGCCTGGGCGCTGTCCCTCAGCTCTTCAGCTCAAGGCTAGCGCTCTACCACTTGAGCCACAGCGCCACTTCGGCTTTTTTCTTTTTGCTTATGTGGTGCTGAGGAATCAAACTCAGGGCCTCGAGCATGCAAGGCAAGCGCTCTACCACTGAGCCACCTTCCCAGCCCCTGGTAAGCACTTCTTTTTGTTTTTTTCCATGTGTGTTTTTCCGGGCTTCGTGTATGTTAGGTAAACACGACCACTAAGCAATATCCCCGGCCTAGCAGGAACTTCTTAGGCCATGTGTATGAAGTCAGCCTTCTTGCCCACCTCTCAGAACCATGACTGACCAAGGAAAATGGCTCAAGAAAGTCAGGTGGATTAAGAGTATTCCACATTCACACACTCAAATAATGAGACTATTTTTTTTTAATATATGCTTTGTAAAAGTAATCATGAGATAGAAAGTTAACAGATATATTACTAGAAACATGTTCTTATTTCTCGCTCACCATTCTGCTCTTTTATTCCTTCTCCTCCTCTGTGTCCTGTTGTCCTTACTTTCCTGGTCATAATGCACTTCCTCTGTTTAAGTTGCTTTCCATCACACTGAGATGTCTCTTATTTAACATCTTATTTGAAATGACCACAGTATCCTTCATGTTCATCCAGTGGGATGTGTAGCTATCTTTTTACTGGGGATCAGTGGTTGGGATTAACTGAGACATGGGGTAGCAGCCTGGAAAGTCCTTGAACCTTGAGTTTCTTGTTGCCTCAGTAGTCCCTTCCAATGATAACAGAGCTGTCCTTCTAGCCAGAGGTCAGAAGGCAGTTCCCTAACATCAGTGCTATGGGATTTGGGGTAGAGGGGGAGTGGGGTCTTCTCTCATTAAAAGCTACAACCTCATTGCAAGCATGGGAAAGCTTCTATGGTTTAGGAGATGGCGTTCCTTCATTGCACTCCAAATGCATACATCGTTGAGTTTGACTACCTTCTCACTTCACCTTTACATAGATCTTCAGCAGGGCAGGGCAGGAGTCAATGACTGAGGAGCCTCACCATGGGGTCCTGAAGGTGACCACTGGCGTTTGCCTGTGAGATGCTTTTGTTATTGGAGGCTGTGAGAGCAGTGCCTTCTTGCTCACCAAGGGCAGAGTGTGACATGATCTGGTTTTATTTTTTCCCTTCATTCTGGTTGCTGTGAGACGAGATGGGCTGGCGAAGATGGAAGCAGGGAGGCCAGGAGAGGGAATGCAGATGTCTCCATCATTGCTTTTCCTTTCTCTCCAAAGCAAAGAGACTGTCATGAAGAGCATGCTCTGACTGCATTTGAAAGACAAGGTTCTCCAGGTGTGACTCTGGCTGCTGTGGAGGTCATCTGAGAAGCTGTGTAGACAGAGACTGAGTTAGGAAGCCTTGCACCTTGCTTGGTGTGGTGGCTAGCCCCACTGGCCTCCTTCCTTTCCTTCAGCTGCTGTTCTGAAGATGTTGCTGGTGAATACCTGGACAATACCATCATTGTCTGAAGCACTGTGGATCACACACATTGGCTGCTTTAAGTTCTTCACTACAGGTTCAATGGATTGAGTTCTGGGTTTGTTTTTTGGTTGTTTTGTTTTGTTTTGTTTAACTTGTTACTGTTTTTGGTACCTCACAAGCATTTCTGTTGATGTATGTTCTGAACAGTTGGGTTCACTCCATGGCTGCCCATGCAGGCAGCCTGTATTTTGAGCCTACCTTACCTCTTCTTTGTGAAAACAAGATGTCATTTCTTGGAAATAAAATGTAAAACCTATTGGTTGCTCAGCTGGGCTTTGGTGTATTTACCTTCCTTTCCTTCCAGCTCCCAGGCAGTTTCACAAGTAAACACTGGCAGCTCATAGATTACAGCCAAGTGACTGTAGCAGATGATGCACTTCAAGTGAATGTCAGCCTGCGAGGCCACACCCAGGCTGTGTCACAGCAGGTGGGCTCGCCCCAGCATGTCCCCTCTTATTCTGGAGGCCGAGGTTACGCTTACATTGTTTCAGAGTGGGTGAGTTCTTCTCCTTTAGCTGCCATCTGAAGATGTTTCCAGACTTACAAAGCAATGTCAAGAACACAGGGATAGCCAGGCATCAGTGGCTCATGCCTGTAATCCTAGCTACTCAGGAGGCTGAGATCTGAGGATTGCAGTTCAAAGCCAACCCAGGCAGGAAAGTCTTAAGACTCTAACTCCAAGGGCTGGGAAGGTGGCTCAGTGGTAGAGTGCTTGCCTTGCATGCATGAGGCCCTGGGTTCGATTCCTCAGCACCACATAAGCAAAAAAAGCCAGAAGTGACACTGTAGCTCAAGTGGTAGAGTGCTAGCCTTGAGCTGAAGAGCTGGGGGACAGCACCCAGGCCCAGAGTTCAGGCCCCACAACTGGCACACACAAAAAAAAAAGACTCTAACTCCAATTAACCACCAGAAAACTGGAAGTGGCACTGTGGTTCAAGTGGTAGAGCACTTGAGCTGAAGAGCTGGATAGCACCCAGGCCCCCAGAGCTCAAGCCACATGACCAAAAAAAAGAACACAGAGACAATGAACTTAGGAGAACTTGATGTGCTCCCCAACCCCCCTTTTTAAATTAATAGCTGCTTTTGATCACCTTCTCTTTTTACTTTTTCTTAGTGTATGGTGTACAAAGCATTATGATGTTTTTTTACATTCAAATTCACCTCTTCTACTTTTTTAAAAATTATTTCCCCTCCCCTCTTTCTAAACAATTTTATGTGTATAAGTATTTATTTAAAATTTTTTGTGCTGGTCCTGGGGTTTGAGCTCGGCCTGGGCACTATCCCTGAGCTTTTGCACTCAAGACCAGTACTCTACCACTTTGGGCCACACCACCAGTTCCAGTTTTCTGGTGATTAATTGGAGATGAGTCTCATGGACTTTCTTGCTGGGGCTGGCTTCAAAACATGATCCTCAGAACTCAGTCTTCTGAGTAGCTAGGATTACAGGCGTTAGCCAACAGCACCCTACTGTCCCTGAGCTTTTTTTGTTCAAGGCTAGTGCTTTGCCACTTGAGCCACAGCTCTACTTCTGGCATATTGGTGGTTAACTGGAGATAAGAGTCTCATGAGAACTTTCCTGCTTAGTCTGGCACAATCCTCAGATCTCAGCCTCCTGAGTAGGATTTCGGATGTGAGTCACCAGTGCCCAGTACCTAGAAACTTTTTAGTCTGATACAATACATTTGTCAGTTCTTGCTCTTACTTCGTGAACAATAGGAGTCCTGTTGAGAAAGACATTTCCTGTGCCTCACCTTCCCTTTTCAACAGAAAGAAACAGCATGTCGGTGGTGGGAGGTAAGAGCTCTGGACAAGCTTTGGTGTCCTCGGTATTCTGTGATGAGAACATAGAAGACTGAAGAATGGTGATTAGAACAGAGAGCCCTCTTCCTAGCAGGAATGTGGAACTGAGCTGTCTGTCACTGATCTGCTTCCCTCCCTTTCCATTTTCTGTGCAGAGAACCATTGTATTTTACTCTTCTATACCCTGTATGTTTCACAAAGAATTGGAGACTACTACCACCTTTTACCACCTGTGCAGGGATGGTACAGGATGTCTTATCTGCTTTCATGCAGTAGACTGAGTATTGTGGATACCCTGGTTTCAATTCCATCTTTGAATATTAGCTGAAGGCTCAGTGCTGTAGCACTTGCCTAGCATGTGTGAGGCATTGGGTTCTATCCCTTGCACTGCCTAAAAAAGGGAAGAAAAAGAGGTACTAGTAGAGTCAAGGAAGAAGTAAAATGAAACATAGAAAAATAGCACTAAGAATATTAACTATAACTATCAGAAAAGTCCTGAAAAAAACGTGATTGTTACCTTGATGTAATGACTTGGTTTCTATACATATGCTTGCTTTATGTGATGACATGGATAGAGCTAAGATTTTGTATATTCCATGTTTTCAGTTGAGACATAATTCTTTTACAAGTATAGATATACACTTCACAACCAAGTACTAGTTCTCATGGTTTGAAATCAAAAGGCATAAAAGAACACTGGAAAACTTCTGGCTCTCTCCCTATGAGCACATCCTCGCAGATGAGCAAGTGCTACAGGCACTACAGAGACCTTCCCTGCATGGACAAGCACATGCACATGGGTTCTTCTCCCTTCTTTTACACAAACGATAAGCTATTCTGCACCTTTTCTTTCACACGTAGTACCTAAAGGACTTTGTCTTCCTTCCTTTCTTACAGATGCATGTTACTTCAGTTTGCTTTTACCATGCTTCATTTTTCTGGGCTGTTTTTCACTTTGGGTGCTGTGGTTGAACCAGGTCCTGATCCAGGCTATGCAGCATGTTCTACCACTGAGTTCCATACTTGCACTCCAGCCTACTTCTGATGGAACTGCAGCTTGCCTCAAACCTTTTCCTCCTGAAACAATGTTGTTGTGGTCCCTACTTCATTCATTAAAGAAAAGATCCTTGAAGAGCCTCTTGCCTTGAAGATCCTGAGGTTATCTGCAGGGACAGCCTCATAGACGACCGTTCTGAGCACTCCCAACTTGCCGCCTCTCGGAGCATGCTTCCCTCCAGTGCCACACAATTAGAGAAGATAAGCTAGGAAGACATATTAAGAGGAATACTAAGTAAAGAACTTTTACAATTAAAAAGCCACACTGTCTTGATTGGCCTCGCAGCCCTGCTGTTTGTAACTATATAACCTAGATAAGTTCCTCAACCTTTCTGAGCCTTGGTTATTTCAGCTCTAAAGGATCTTTACTTCCAAATTAATTACAAAGTAAGGCCTAAATAGTTATGTCACACTTAATATCATACTGCTTACAAACAGATATGTAGTAGGGTGTTGTGCTGTGCATGCCTGTATTCCCAGCAGTCTTGAGGTAGAAGCAGGAAAATGGTTTACGCTATCATGAGTTCTAGGCTGGGCTGGCATGGGCTATTTGGCAAGACCCTATCTCTAAAACCTAAAGTAGCCAGGCGCCTGTAGCAAACACCTGTATTCCTAGCTACTCAGGAGGCTGAGATCTGAGGATTGCAGAAAAGTCCATGAGACTCTTATCTCCAATAAACTAAAACAAATAAAATGCTGGGGGCTGGGAATGTGGCTTAGAGATAGAGTGCTTGTGCTTGCCTAGCATGCATGAAGCCCTGGATTCAATTCCTTAGTACTATATAAATAGAAAAAGTTGGAAGTGGAGCTGTGGCTCAAGTGGTAGAGTGCTAGCCTTGAGCAAAAAGCTTAGGGACAGTGCCCAGGCCCTGAGTTCAAGCCCCAGAACTGGCAAAAACAAAGCAAAACGGAAGTCATGCTGTGGCTCAAGTGGTCAGAGCACTAGCCTTGAGCAAAAAAAGCTCAGGGACAATGTTCAAGCCCCAGGATTGGGGGGATAAAAAAACCTAAAATAAACCAGAATGTTTTTGAATTCAGGACCTGAGTGCTATCCCTTAGCCTTTTCCCTCAAGACTGGCATTGGCATTCTACTACTTGAATCATAGCTCTACTTCCAGCATTTTTTTTTTGGAGGGGGTAGGAAAGGCTCACAGATTTTCCTGACTTGGCTGTCTTTGAACCTTGAGCCCCAGCCTCCTAAGTAGCAAGGATTACATGTAGGCCTGAGCCACTGGTGCCTAGTTTTATTGTGGGGGAGGGGGAACGGTCTCAATATTAAACAGTCTGGCCTTGAATTTACAAACCTTTTAGCTACCTGAGTGCTGGGATTATAGGCATGTACCACCGTACTCAGAAGAATGTTCTATTTTTAGAAGACAAACCAAAAAATAACCCAAACTTGCATTGTTTCTCTGAGCTACAGAATGTTCTTTCCTTGAAGAGATCTGATGTTAAACATCATATTCATTTTGCTTGCCTAGAAAAATACATGATAACTTTTCTCTCACACAGCACCAAACTACAGTAGAGCTGAGCCCCACTGCTGTGCAGTGTGCCTCTAATTAAAGACATGTTCTCTACAACAGGGTTCTGAGAGACTAGAGTGTGTGCTTCCATTCTGGCTTTATTAAGCGGATGAATGCAGCCAGTGAAGTGAGGTGCTCCCTGTCCATCCCATTATTTCAATCTAGAAAGGTCTCTCTAACTTCTAGGCCAGCTTCATCAATCAGATGGTGCCAAAGTGGGAGATTTTACTGTTGGTGGACGGGATAGCTGGATACAAATTAAAACGAAATCCCCTCGTTATCGCCGGCCTTTCTCTCATCCCCACTTTGCCATTCTCTGTGAGTAGCCACCCGGGCACCACAGCCACAGGGCTCCTGGGATGGGCAGCTAGCTCTTCAACTGCCTTTGCTTTTTAATAACCTGCTCTGTAACAAATCTCTCCACCCAGAAACCTGGGGTGTCCCGGGCTGTTTATCTGACATTTAGATGCTGCTAGTCCTCTGATTAGCTCTACTTGATGTACAGAGGGAATTTCTAACTTGCATTGTGGTCCTAATCTAAGAAGAATGGGAGGAGATCAGAACAGGAATCACTGTCTGTCCCTGGCCTTAGAGTGTCTGTCTTGTTAAAGGTGCAGGGCCTGGTGAGAGCAGAAGACTGCCATTGGCTACCGCAGGCCTGGCATTTGAAGGCTATTATGCATCATTCAAAGGAAGAAATTTCTGATCTGGTCAGCATTTTTCAACTTTTTCTGTCTAAATGGTAGTGGAGGCAGTTGGTGAGGGCAGCTCCTGGGGAGAAGATAGGGCTTTGTGTTGAGAAAAATAATGAGCTGTCTTGTTCACTTCGTTCTCCAGTTTTGAAGAGCCCTTCCATCCTAGGAAGGGGATGGGC